CTACACCTTCTGATAGTATCAAATACTTATTTGCAGTATTATTTTTCTTGCTTCTATCTCTCGAACAGAAGAACATTTTACAGCATTTTGCATAGAGGTCTGTGACGTGTTCCCAAAGACAACAGGGGGTTGAGCCTGGTTTGCCTGAGGAACAATTATCTCATTCACAGTTACCCTACATCTTAAGACACTGAAGAATCACTGCAGTTCTCCTGTGCAATGGGTTAGGTCTGAAAGGGCACCAAATGGTAGGCACATCTAAGAGGCAGCAGAAAAAAGGCAACATTTATATTTGGTATTAGGCTTGAGCACACAGAAAGGCACCCAGGGGTGGAGGAGTTAGTTGGAAGCTCTCTCTGCTCCCTAAGCACTGCAGACAAATGTCTGTACACAGCACTGTGTTTAGGTCACCCCATGAGTGATTCGCCAGCTTCTCAGACATCGGGATCAACACAGCGTTGTTTTCTTTACCTTTACCTTGCTAAAGCAATGAAAATTGTTTGAATTTTAACTGTAATTAGGCATTTTTGTTTTAGGAAGACATATATATGTGGATTCCATTCATACCTGCTCCAGGGGAGGAAGGTTCAAACATACTAGATGTATCGCTGCATGTGTTGGAAGCTTGCTCCGAGAGCTTCTTCTTTGCACTTCCATCTGCAGACTTATGCGACTTCTTTTTATTCTTCACCAGAATTTTGTACATTAAATCCATAGGGCTTGGAAGAGGAACCCCAGGTTCCAGCTTGCAGCAAAAAGAAAATAAATTTGTTACAACAAAAGAAACAAGTTTATGGCAATTTCTCAGGGCCCACATGGTGCATGATAATTTTGTAACCTCTACAAGCCCTGTTAAAATGAAAAGTATTTTGCACAAGAGGCAATCTCAATATTAAATGAAGCAGGGCTACTAAGGGCACTTACGTAGAAAAGAAAAATGCCTTCTGAAATGTCTACAGTAATAAATGAAATAAGTATCAGTTCAAATATGAAAGCCTACATTACAAAATGGCAGCTATGATAATTAATTTCATTTAGAGGATTAAAATTCTCTGCATTGGAACAATCTCTGCATCAGAAATTATATGCTTAAGTCACCAACTGCTCACATTGTTTAACTCTCTCCTTCAGACTTGGTTTTGAAAGGCTGTATATGAAGAATGATAAGACTGAAAGACTTAAATAAAAAAATCACACTGGTATTTGGGATCTGATAAATACCAAACAATATTACCGGGTATTTTTCCAATGGATCCATAAGCAGTGCATCTCCAAATATCAATCTGCAGTACTCTGCCATTTTTGCCTGTTGTTTAGGGCTAAAGGAGAGAAAAGAAGAGATGAGTCCGACTAATGTTACCGAGTGAAAGCAGCAGTAATAGAATATCTAATATCCCTAAACAAGATGTAATTTCCTGATCCAATTGCTGTGAATTTTTCAGAGACCTAGATATAACATAAAATTATTCTGATTCCTCTGACAGAGCTTATCAAAAGGATCATACACGAAGTCAATTGAATAATACTGAAACTGAACTTTTAACATTGAGGTACATTTTCTCATGCACTTGGTAGAAAATATAAAAATGAGGCTGTCAGTTGCTACCTTTAGGGAAATTACTGTTACATGAATTTGCCTCTTTCAGGCAACGTTTTTATTCAAAGTTGAAACATTTTCCTCCTCATGTTACTTTATACACATGCCTGGCATTCTTTTTAAAGGCACATCCCCCAACCATTTGCATTTCTTCCTTTTATTTTGTTTTACCTGACCTAAGGCATAAAACCCAAAATAGTTACACTGAAAGCTGTTCTCCTCATCTCACTCAGAGCATTTCCCCTGACATATCCTTCCTGGCAGAAGTCATAAGAGTAGATGTTACTGTGCTACTGCTAAGAGGTACTAAGTCAATTTGGAGAATTGCAGTAATAACTGCTGGTATGACTGCATTTTATATGCATATAATTACATATCGCATGGATGTTGCGTGTATGTAACTGGGACCAACATATCAGGACAGCCACCTTAGTGAGGATCCGGATGTAATAGCAAGCTGCTGGGTGGAGCTGCTCAATGATCCTTTTAGCTTGCTTGGGTATGTGGTCAGATTCCTTTTTGAAAATTTTTAAAATTTTATTTAAATTCAGACAGAGTGTCAAATTTTAGCATAGCAAATTACTTCAGTGGTTTTCATGACATTCCCTAAAAGTAAACTGAACCTCAGTAAATTCTACTTAGGGTCAATTTTCCCAAAGTACAACCAAAGAATGAAATAATTCCTGCATAGCAGTGAGGGGAGTTTAGGACTGAAGGTAGGTTACACAGCTCAGAAATATCACTCAAACAATCTTAGAATGCAGCTCAGTGCTACAGTCATTCCCTTTCTAATTTTAGATGACTGTATATTTTTGTTGTATGTGTCTGTTTAAAAACTGTAACATCTGAGCTTAGGTTTCTTTTAAAGTTTCCATTTTTGATACTCTGCTGAGAAGTCTCAATTAAAGAGCAGGTTTATGTTGCTTAATATAACTTCAACTATTGTTAATTATGATCTGTATATCACAGAAGATACATGAAAGATATAAGCAGTTACGTTACCATGGAGCTCTTTTTCATGACAAAACAGAGCTGGGTATATAGGGGAAAAAAGAGTGCTCATTTTTCTCTTCAAAACTAGAGTACAAAACCCATCACGTCTAGTTTGCCATTAGGTACCAACTGAGCACCTGACACTGCTGCTCTGTTGGGGGCCAGCAAGGCCAAACCAGAGCTGAGATAAAGGCTGGGTGGCATTTGAATCAGAAAATACAATTTATCTCAGATCAGCATTCTGGGTGTCCCTTGAAGCAGATACGGGGTGAACCAGTCATTAGCTCAGTCACTGATGAAACGTATTGTGAAGAGGCTTTAAATTATTCCACAAAGCTACACAAGTGCTGCATGCAGTTTAAATCACTACAGCATTCCATTAAACTTTCTTTTCCGTGCAGCCTAATCTGCAAAAAAGCTAAACAACCCTTTTAGCTGAGGACAGAAAATTAAGAAGACAAGTAAGGCAGTGGAACTAAAAACCAACAAGGGAGAAGGTGATGGGAAGAACAGATCAGGCTATGACAGCATGTTAGCTATAAATGGCCAGTTCTCAAAGAAAGCAAGGACACCTTGCTCTTCTAAGAAACAGGCTGGGCATTTGCTATAGGTCTAGGGGTCATTATAGTGAATCTTACTGCAGTCTTCTGCACCAGGCTCTATTTCAAATAGAGCTATGCTCTTAGAATCCACCGAGTTCAAATGACATCTCCTTGACTAAAAAGATTGATGGAATTAGTTACTGAAATAGTAGCAATTAGATGTGACATCAGCATTTTGAAATGGGCAAATCAACTCCAGAAGGAAGTCTTGATAAGAGCACAAAAAAAAAATAAAATATGCAGGAGTTAAATAGAATACCTTTCAAATTATCACCACGGCAAGAACAAATTCTTCTGATCTTCTGCATTTAATTACATGTTTACCTCAAAGAGACCCCAGTGAAAACTTTTGTTTTTGCAAAACAGAAAAATGCAATGCTATGGTATTTTGGCTTAGTGTATAAATTCCAGTGTCACTGCACCTCAGAGGAAGAAAGAAGGAAAACCAAAATTATGTGAGAAATTGATGGCTTTTAATACCATAAATAAATCTTGCAGTAGTAGACAAGGCCAAAGTAGGAAAATCCTGACATTACAAAATTACTTGTCTTTGTGAACTGGACTATGTGCATAGATATTTTAAAAAGCTCCAAAGATTGAAAAATATTTAGGACCATCAGAATTTAACTGAGTGGTATTTTTTGTGTTCTCTCTCTCTTTAAAGATATATATGTATATATTTTCAAGAGACAGATCATTAGTAGTAGTAGAGATTATTTATTACTATTATAGTATTTTAAAAATTGGGATACCAGTTCATTTCTATTTTCTTTCCTTTCAAAATTATAATCCAGAGCAACAGAAGGACATACCAACTTTTCTGCATCGACATATTTGTGTTATGAAACAAAAAAGCAGGTATTTTCTGGTCCACATCTCCTGTTATTGGAAATTCTCTCAGCATTCATGTATTGTAACGAAAATTGATTGCCTGCAAAGAGCTGACTTTATCTGCTTTATGATATTCAGTGTGCAGAAAGGACACAGAATGCACACAGAATAATTATATATGCCCCCAAAGTGTGCCAGGGCAAAGGAAGAGGCAGGAACATGATACCCAAAGATATGCAGATAGAAAGAATATTAATAAATGTTTTAATTACTATTACTGTTTTGCTTGTACTTTGGTTTAGTGTGTTTGTATTATGTCTATGATGAAGGTCAATCACAGAGGCTCTTTGGCGCTTCTCCATGACTACTATTCCTAACACTATATTATTATCACTTCTGCCTAAGACAACGACACGGATCCTTCCCAGAAGAGTCTAAAATAATTTAAAGTGTACGAAGAAAAAGTGATAAAAATCCTGTTCATATTTGAAATAACAATTCCAGCAAGAAACCAGCAATATCTTGGAAGCGATCTTACGTGGATACTGCTCAAGGATCACTTAACCTTTTTGCTATGTCATCAGTGCCTTTCTAATTATAGAGTGTCTGCTTTCAGATTTGCAGGTTGTTTATCTTCTTGCAAGCCCAATTTCAAACTTCAAGGTCTTCTTGAGGTCTTTTCAACATTTTCAGGACAGTTTTCTACTTTTGATAGAACCACATCTTTCCTTAGTACTGCCTTTTTTCAGTGTGCATATTTTGACTTCAGTATAAATGATGGTACATATAATATTTGATATCTTCTAAAAGTTACATGCTTGCTTCTTTTTCTAAACTTTTTATTGTTTAAAAACAGGCAAGAATGAATATACTGCACAGTGGAGTTATAGTGAAGGAAATAAAAATTCTTAAGATGCTAAAAAGATATTAGAGAGGAGTCTTTCAAGGAAAAACAGTGAAAGAAAGCAAAATGAGATGATTAACGCTAAGAACTGATTTGTTCCCTAGGTGGACAAAAAGTGTTTAAAATACTCTCATGGTCATAAACCAGAATGAAGAAAAATTGCATTTTAAGTCCAGTGGTGGTTCAGAGTGTCATATATGTGGTAGTGATGTAAAACTTATTTTCCTCTGACAATCACAGTCTGTTTAAAAACCAGGAGTACAGAACACAAGCTAAAACCACATTTCTGTTTCAGCCAATGCCAAAATTTTTACTGATTTCTATGGGGTCAGCATTTCACACATGAATGTTGACTCTTGGAGCTTGAAAATCAGAAGAAAAACATGGTCACTGAGAAGTAGGAAATTATGTCAGAGGATTTGTTTGACAGAAATTCTATTAAAACACTTAATATTTTTTTTGTTAATACTTATGGCAAAGCCCACCCTTAAGATCTAGGAGAAAAACAAGAATCCAAGTCAATGAAAACACAAAGGGAGTATTCCATGAAATTAGGTGAAGGTTTCTGTGAATGGCATGACTAATTGCAGATTTCTCTAGCAACTAGTGAAGAAATGAAGGGATAATTGTAGCAGTCAGTAAAATAACTAGAAATTATTTTCAGCCAAAGCAAAATCAGAAATCATACATAATAAGTCTGATGATTTACTGCTGCAGAAAATAACAAAGAACAATAAAGCCTCAGAAAGAGAAAATACTTGATACTATTTTTGCAAACTTGCTTTGCTAAAAACCCATCATGGAAATGCATGGAAAAAGAGATAAAACCATAAATACACTTAGGGATAACTCATTATTCAGTTATTGGAGCTTTCTCAAGAGAAAGGTCCAATGGTTTCTATAGGGCAAATTGTAAAGATCAGTGTAATGCAGCAATAACTCTGTTCCCTTTTTGACATATTCCTGCAGTATCACACCACCTTTAACAGTGTTTCACCTTATAGCTTTAAAGCCACTTCTGCATGTAACTTCAATCTGACAGGAGTTTATTTTATACAATTTTTACTTCTTTACTTTCCTAAAATAGAACAGATCCCCCTGGAATAGCTGAAGTTTTAAGTCTTACTGACTTTGAAGGAAGAAAAATTTAATCCTTCTGGTTAAAATAAATTGGATGCTGCTGTTTCTCTGCTTTTTAGTAACACAGTGAATGTATATTTTAACAAATACAGAAGAATGAATACCAAATATAACACACTGAACAATGATGGCTGAGATCTTCTTTAAAGATCAGAGGTTGTATTTGGAAGCACTGAGAAAGGCATTGTGAGTTGAAACCTAGAGCAGGTAGGTGAGCATAAGTCCAAAGTTACATAACTTACACCAAAAAGAAAGGAGCAAGGAGACTGATTAGAGAAAGAAATTAAATACAGTTAATCTGTGTGGTCTTTCCAAGGAAGATAGACCTAACTAAGCAGGATTTAACAGGTAGCTGTTTGAATCATAATTACGTGGCCTTTCAGTGTGTGCAGAGTAAGCACATATTTGCCCACAAAAGGCAGCATAAACTTATACTGTGAGGTGTATAAAGGTAGGGTAGGTCAGCTCTTAGATTTTTAATTTTTCCACCTACATAATTTTTTATCAGTACTGACACAACATAATAAAACTGTGCATACAAGTGCATAGGTAATTCTGTGCTTAGACTCATTAGAAATATAACACTATATAGGAGAATACAGTAATTACTTACGAATCCACGTGATTTTCAAAGGAAAGGAGGATTGGAAAGGGCGATGTCTTAAATGCACATTCAGCGATAGCTTCTATTACTTCCTAAAAAACAAAAAAACATAATTAGAAGTTTAAGTCTCTAATGAAATTGGTCTTTGAAGACAGAAAAGATCCAAAGAGATCTGAAATCATACAAAATCTGCCTGAAATCAGACTTTGTGTTCTAAACAGCCCAGAGAGCTTTGGATGTACTTTTGCAGCAACCACATTTTTTCAACCTGAACTGTAATCAAATCTCCAAAATATCTGATAAGCCTCAGGCATTGCATTTTTCAAGAAACGACTTATGTCTGCCTATATCAAGTTTAAATGTAAAACTTGGTCTTTCTGCAGAGTTGTTTCATGCCCAAAGCTATTACTTTCATGAACTATTCTGCATAATAATAAACATGCTCTGACAAAGGCAGATCCTTCTAAACATCATCAGCACAAGCTCTCCCTGTTTCTGACTGAGAGAAATCCCTTTAAGGCAAAAGGAAGGGGAAGGGGAAGTGGAAGAATAAGGGGAAGGGGAAGTGGAAGAATAAGGGGAAGGGGAAAAGGAAAAGGAAGGGAGAAAGGAATGGGAAGGGGAAGGGGGAGGGGAAGGGAATTTAAAGTAGTTGGCTCTGCAATAACTATCAGAGGACTGAGTAAGTGAAACTTCCATACAAGTAGTAGAGGAATAATTTGATAACACTAATTTTAATGCTGTGCACAACATATTTATCTACCTCCTGCTACAAATTATTCATTTTTTCCCTATTGTAACAGTTGTTTTTTTTTTTTCAAAAGGACTTGCTGGACACTGCAGACTTTCCATATGTATTGCTGTCAAACTCTGGATTTTATAAGAACACACAAGCCTGTTGTCTTCCAAATCATAAGGATGACTAAAACCAAAAAGATTTATTTATTTTAAACAAGCTTCCTCTGGGGATTTTGTTTAGTTTCTGTGCTTTTAAAGGCTTGATTCAGAAGCTTAACAGTAAGAAATCCACTTCCTAAAATGACAGCTTTGCTTCTGGTACATTCTTCTGATATGTTGGGTTGAAAATCCAGGGCTGGAAGGAAAGCACAAGCCAGCTAAAAATTTGCTGATATAAGCTAGGATACAAACAAAATTTAACAGTCTTCATGTAAGCAGAAAAAAACCGAACAACACAGCGCAGGCACAAGTTTTTCTCATCTCTTACAGGATGAGGAACTAGCTCTCTCAGCACACCCAGGTTTGATGGCTACATTTAATAAACTGCAATCACCACTAACACATACCACTAAACACTTCACATACCACTAACCAGTAATGTACTTCAACTAGAACCACTCCTAGGCTTTAAAGAAAGCAGAAGTGTAAAGCATTTGTTGGAAGAATAGTAAACAAGGCAAAAGGCTGAACAAAGGCAGGCAGGAACCTACAGTTTCACAGCAGTGGTTCTCCCAGGGGAGAACGCATGATCCAGTGATTTCTACTCCACATTTTCTGTCCAGATCCAGTAAACCACTAAGTGCTGGTACCACCTTAACACTGTTCAGAAACAGTGTGATTTTCAAGAGCATCGAAGGCAATATCAGTAGTGCTGAGATTCAGGTTAACTATATTAAGCCCACCCATCTTGGATGCTCTGCACTCAGATCATTAGTATTGGCTTGGTCTCCATCCACCTGCACCCTCCCTTGGTTATGGAGCATCGTGCAGGGCTTAAGAACACTTGAAGCTACATATAAAAGATACTGCTGAAAGCAGTCCTGAGGCCTTTCTTGCTCCTGCACATTGCTCAAGCTGTGGAGTAAATCCATAAATTTATTTTCAACTGCAAAAAGGGATGAAATCCAACATGTGTGGGGAAAATAACCAGAAGAGTAAAATTAGGATTACACTGATGAAATCTGAGGATGAGAAGCTCAGGCATTGGGTTAGTGGAGAAACAGGTGTATGCTGGTGATACAGTCTTGCACTGCATTCAAATGTAAATGCAAATTCTCTGTGGTCAGAGAGGAACAAGAAGTTCCATACTTTGCTCCAGCTGTAGAATGATACCTGAAACAGGTCTCCAAGATTATATATAAAGTACATACGCATAAATTTCTGGTTATGGCATGAAAATATTGTTGGTTCCCTGTAAGATCTCATCATGGTGGCAGCTAACAATCACCAGCTGAGGAAAACCTCACTGATTTCTGTGTCATGCAGCAAGGTAAAAACCAATCAAACAAAACCCCACAAAAATCCCAGCAAGGAAAGGATGTGAGATATGTATTGCTTCTGTCTTAGCACTTCAGAAAGCCTGTCTGAGGCATTGAACTCTGACAGACTGAACAAAAGCATTGTGTGCTGTGGCCATGCCAAAAACGTGAGGTAGCGAATGATTCAGCATTCAAGACACAGTGATCCCTCTGAATTGATTCACACACTTCTGACACATTATTTCACTATCATTTTACTCCTCCTTAGCCAAGCAACACACTTTTATTGCTGAAATGAAACCAGCAGTTTCTGCATGGAGAACCAGCAGTTTCTGCATGTTATTCTGCGTGGAGAAAGCATTTGCCCTGAAGTGACAGATGGAATACTCCTGAGTAGATTTAAAATATCTTCCAATATCTCTCCAGCAAATACAATGCCTAGGGTTGAACATCCAAATAACTGGGGATAATCCTCATTCCCGTAAATGATCCTTTTAAGAATCAGATTAACTTTGTTTTAAATTCCTGCTCATGACCAAAGGAGTTGAAAGCTAACTTCCTTAATTAAAGGACTTCCAGCAACCAAACTCTATGCACATAAACATAATTGGCTTCAGATAAACTAACTGGAAAGTTCATAAAAAATGTGAAAGAAGGTTGTGTTTTACATTTTCCTGCAATTAACTCAGTTACTGAAGAGTTTGAGAAAACAAACACACAAACAAAAAAACCTGTTCTGGTGGAAGTGAAGTGTGAGGTTTTGTCTGTGTGGCAGTACTGTTTGCTTTCTTTTCCCAAAGGAAGGCAATGAAGGCATGGAAGACAAAAAATCACAACAACTCAGGCTTCAAGTGCTGGAGACATGCTTCAAAGCTGTAGCTAGTAGAGAATCAAAGAACGGTTTAGGCTGGAAGGGATCTTAAAGATCATCTGGTTTCAAGGCCCTTGCCATGCAGGCTTCCACTAGACCAGACTGCTCAAAGCTCCATCCAACTTGGCCCTGAAGACCTGAAGCCACACCTAACACCAGTAACGTAACCAAGTTCAGTAATGAATATTTTTGCATGTGTTCTTCCACACAGGTAAATCTGGAAGCATATTCCCATGGTGAGTTCATATCTCAGCTGAACAAGAATTATTTTTTCATGCTTCAAAAATGATATCCTGATGTAACATTATATACTCTACTGACTACCAGTCTTAATAGCATAGGAAAACACCTCCATCATGTTCCTTTAACACCTCAAATCAAAAACATGTCTAAGAATAACAAGAAGATAACAATTTAAAGTTATTGCTAAGAGTGTAGTATCTACCTTTTATTATAGAAAAAGGAAAAGGGAGATGACAATCAGAAATACAGATTATAGGTTTAGCGTTTGAATGGCACAAATGTCCTATCACGCTCCCCAAAGATAATAATTTTTCTTTTTCATCCTCCAGTGCTTCAGATCTAATTACAAGTGTCAGGCAGAGAGTAAATGCTGCACATACCATTATTTGTTTTTTAAATAGTTCATATATTGATGAGTGTCTGGTCCCTGTGGGTGGGACCTGCCCAAAGGGACATGAGTAGACTGTTCTCTGTCCATAGGAATTTAAAGGCTTGCAAGTTGTAGAGATTTCCACAAAAGCTGCTGTTTCCTACCTCAGTCCAGCACTTTGGTTTCCCACTCCTATTTACCAGGCAGAGAAAAGATAAACTGACACATTGGTTATTGCTGTTCAAATCCATGAGCCCTTCTTCTCAGCTCTCCTCCGTGCTGCAGGCTGTGAAGCTGTAACACAAATCAGTCTTTCCTCCCTATCATCCTGGCTCCAGACCCATCTGCACACCCCATTCACGCTGTGTAAAACCAGTTGTGGTGGCAATACGTGGTCTTTCGGCCCTGGCAGTGGTCTAGTCTTTTTCTCCCCCTTTGTGAGACTTGATGCAGAGACATGCACAGGAGTATGGACCTAAGCATTGGGCCTAGTCCCCAGATGTCACAGACTATCACACCACACAATCCCTTTTCCTCTGATTTCCATGGAGGAAGACAAGAACCAAGACCTCAAGACCTCTTCCTGTTCAAGGTCCAAATACTGCAACTCTTTTCTTCCAACGATTCCACATGTGCTCCTAAATCACCCTTACAGCATCTTTTTGCCCTTGCATCCCTCTTCCCTTCCACCTTTGCAGGAATATCCAAGCAATGTATTTGTGTCGTTTTACTCCGAAAAAACTGCCCCAGCTAAAACCAACTACAACAGTGTGTGCTGTATTACTGTACCTTGAAGGATATTTCTGTCGTCATGGTGAATCCATGTGTAATGACTGGCTCTTCTTCAGCTGTTCTTCCTTTCCAGCAGTCCAGCTCCACACAGCGGCAGCCTGACAAAAGCACTTGCCGATACATCTCCACCGATGAGTTCCCGGCCAGCTGTCCAGCTGTCACAACACAAGAACATGAAAAAAGGCAAGTCATTTTGGGTCTCGGGAATAAATGCAAATAATCTAAGAGTAATTAGAGTTAACAGCATCTTTTACCCTTAGCTGAGAGGAATAACACAAAAAGCCTAAGAACATACTAGAAATTACTTTGGCAGAGTCAATGTCATGGTTTGGATTCTGCCCTCTGTTAAACTGCTGTGAGTGAGGAGAAATAACTAAAATGAAGTAAATTTAAAAAATTCTGATAGACAGCATTGATAAAATAAGATAATAAAATAGATTAGTTCTCAGATGTTACCCTTTGACAAGCAATGTAAGATTTAGAGTTGACTCAGGACTGCAAGATCACATTTTCTCATAACATGCAATGCAGTTTTATACATGATAAAACAAAGCTCCTGCCCAGTCACTACTTTTATCACTGCTGGGTCTCAGACACTTATTTAATACATTAATCACTGTGCTGAGATGGCCAATTGAATTTTCTGATGTTGGAAAAGACCTTTAAGATCATTGAGTCCAACTATTAACCTAACTCTACTGAATCCAGAGCTAAACCATGTTCCTAAGCACCACGTCTACACATCTTTCAAACACCTCCAGGTGATTCAACCACATCCCTGGGCAGCCTGTTCCAGTGTTTGATAACATTTTCAGTGAAGAAGTTTCTTCTAATATCCAACTTAAACCTCCCCTTGTGCAACTTGAGACCATTTCCTCTTGTCTTGTTGCTTGTTACTTGGAAGAAGAAACCAAACCCGACATTGCTAAAAGGTACTTCCAGGTAGTTATAGAGAGTAAGGAAGTCTCCCCTCAGCCTCCTTTTCTCCAGAATGAACAACCCCAGTTCCCTCAGCCACTCTGCTTAAGACTTGTGCTCCAGACCCGACCAGCTCTGTTGCCCTTCTGCTTGCTCCAGACCCTCAATGTCTTTCTCGTAGTGAGGGGCCCAAAACTGACACAGTATTCAAGGTGCAGCGTCACCAGTGCCAAGTACCGGGGGACAATCATTGCCCTAGTCCTGCTGACCACACTACTGCTGATACAAGCCAGGATGTTGTTAGCCTTCTTGGCCACCTGGGCACACTGCTGGCTCATGTTCAGCCACAGTCAACCAACACCCCCAGGTTCTTTTCCTCTGGGCAGCTTTCCAGGCACTCTGCCACAAGCCTGTAGCATTGCACGGGGTTGTGACCCAAGTGCAGGACGCAATACTTGGCCTTTTTCGGTCTCATGCAATTGAACTCAGCCCATCACTACTGCATCATAGAATCATGGAATGTATTGGGTTGGAAGGGACCTCTAAGGGTCATCCAATCCAACCCCCCTACAATAAGCAGGGATATCTCCAACTAGACCAGATTGCCAGAGCCCCATCAAATTTGACCTTGAATGTCTCCAGGGATGGGGCCTCCAAACATGTCTCTAGGCAACCTGTTCCAGTGATCCACCACCCTCATATTAAAGAACTTTTTCCTAATGTTCAAGCTAAATCTACCCTTTTCTAGCTTAAAACCACTACCCCTTGTCCTGTTGTTACATGCCCTTGTGAACAGGTCTTCCCCAGCCTCCTTATAGGCCTCTTTCAGGTATCCGAAGGTCACTATAAGGTAGCTACAAGGTATCATGTAGGGATAAATTTAATTAAACAACCAGCTTCCAACAACAACACGAAATAAATCTAAAAATGAACAAGGAAAACTCAGTTTTTCCCAAACTCAGAAAATATTAAATCTGCCCCCCAAAAAAAACCCCAATCAATGAAGAAGTCCAGTTATACTCAGGGAAGGATATTGAGTGACTTCATCTGCCAAAACAGGTTTGATTCCAGTCATATGGATACAAATTTATTGCAGCAGAGAAGTAAAGATAACAGAAGAATGGCTCAGTGCTTGTTTTAGATGTGAACAAAATAGATGCAGTTTCCTGCTTTATAGAAGGCTTCCTGTGAAGATGTTCCTGGATTTCTTGAAGGGCATTTACTTGCTTTTTAAGGAGATAGTGAGTTCATTTATTCTAAAGATTCCTTGCTGATGGGAGACATATACACACTTCACCCAGACTGACATATAATATAATGCAGATAACTCTAATCCTCATTTTACTGTCTCTGTGTTTCTGTGTTTAGGTTTTATGCTACATGTTTTGGTTTGTTTCACTACATAGCATTGTTTCTTTCTCTGTCTTTTTAACAACTGTAACAGAAACCCCCTTCCATTTGAAAATTCCTGCTCACCATTTGTGTCTGATATATGAGCTGGAGCAATCATAAATTCTCTACAAAGTATTAACATTACTCCTGTTGAAAATTTTAAGATTTCCCAGCTCCTACTGGAACCAATGGGAAATAAATGTTAATAGCAGAAGAATTTGGCCAGGTAAGCAGTGGCTCTTTTTCTCTGCAGAATGGAAACAAGTGCAAGCATGGATCAGGGTACAACACCACATGTTTCTGTGTACTTATCCCTAAGCATCTGCTTATGAAAACTTGGCTCTCATTCTACAGATCCACTGAACTCTGCTGCTTAAAAAGCTACATTCACTTAGAAAACTTTTTTTCATGTTGTCTTTCTTTTCCCTTGAAGCATGTTAAATTTTGATTAAAAACTATTTTATGATTAACTAACTCTACCGTACTTTCTGAGAGGCTACTGGCCATTATTATTGCTGCATGTTTTGGACTACCTTAACCTTCAAAAATGCTTAAGTAAATCATGACATGCATTGCTTGCTGTATGAAACTTCTCCACACTACCTTTTTAATCAGGCTCAGACATTTTGGAAGGATTCCTGATAAGAATAAGAGGATATTCAACCTCCAAAACATTAAATCTTCAGAAACACTCCCAGTCAGAGTGCAAAATGCTAGCAGATGTTTTAATAGTCCCATTAGCTTATTTTTAGGAATACAGAATATTAGGAATGTTCCATCAAATGTCTTTTGTCTATATTATATATAAGCTTCCACTGTGTGAGTCTCTATTTGTATCTGTCCTGAACTGTCCCTTCAATAGATACATTCTAAAATGTGCTAACACAGACACTAAAGAGAATGCATCCACTATGATACTTTTAATATCCAGAGTACAGATAATTTTTTTAATACTGGAAATTGAAGCGTTATGTATTCCCTTCTTTAATACAGCATCTACAGTAATACCATAATATTTGTATCCTATAACCCTATACTAGATTAGGAGAAACAGATTTTGACAAAAACTAGCTTTCCTAAAAAATATCATTGGCTAAATTATATCTGTAAGGACACTAAGCAAAATGAGCCTCCCCTAAGTGATATAAGTTGGGGATATGACCCATGTTTCCCCATAAAGATCAGCTCTGCACTTTGGTAAATTCAAGCTGCTCTGTTCTCAGCATGTGCATCCTTGTTTTGTTAATTCATCACTGTTTTTTCAAGTGTAAGTTATTTGCAATACATGGACTTAAAACTGGGTTATGATTTTATGACATGTATCCTCCTAGAAGTAGGGGATATTTGTATCTAGGTATTTGGAGTCACCTGGCTCTTCATTACTCCAGAAACAGAAGCCACTTCTGCCCCCTCACCCACCCACAGCACCACCTTCTCCCTGCAAGATGTGGTGCAGGGCTCCTTTTGCCCTGCACAAACATGAGTTGCTAAATCTCCATCCTTCAGGCAAGTCCTGGAAAAGCAGTTTGTGCTCTGGATCACATGCTGTAGTTTGCAGTGTGCAAAATCAGCCCCTTGTACTGCTGGGAGCCTGGCTCTTGACTCTAGCAGCAACAGAAGGTGCTAGTGTTAAAGTATTTTTTAGACACAGCACATTTATCTGAATCTATTTTCCTTCCCAGGTATTTTGCCAGGCACAGGACAAGCAAATTAGACCCCACATTGTGACATGTTCTGCTACTGCTTGTATGTAAGTCAAAATAAGGCTCACACCTTATGGCTGTTCTTTTTAACACCTTACATTGGACCAAAGCAGGACATGCAGTGTGGCTTGTTCCAGCCAGCAGCA